CTCTGCCCGACACTGTCGTTTCTCAGGCACCGAGTGGCAGGGCACGCTGTGTGAAGACTGCCAGCCGGGCACCTTCTCTGCGGGGGGCACCCAGGCAGCCTGCACGCCCTGGACCAGGTAGGTGACCCGGGTCCCAGGAGGCGCTGTCAGTGAGTCCCTGGGAGATAAGGGCCCCCCAGCGGGGAGATGGTGACCCCCCATCCGCCCCGCGGACCCTGTGGCTCCCACACCGCTGTCTCCTCAGCCAAGGGCCCGGTCAGCACATCCCAGATGCGGGGCTCAGGGCGCTGCAGCCAGAGACCCACCCTGTGTTCCGGGGTGTCCCCAGGTGTCAGGGCTGAGGGGTCCTGCCATCCGGAGTCAGGGGTGCACACACGAGGCTCCAGAGTGAGGAGTCCACTCCCCCGGAAACGGGAACCCCAGTGCCTCCCCAATACCCAATCCAGCTGAGACCTGGCTGCTTAGTCTCTGGCGTGACTCCACAGAGAAGGTCACGGTCTTGTGTCTCCATCCTCCCTTCCTCCTGTCCCCCCACCAAGGTCTGTCCCTCTGTCTGGGGCACTGGCTTTCACAATCCATTCCTGACACCCAGCTCTGTCCTCATCTCTGCATCTCCTTCGCTGTCCCTCTCTTGTGTCCAGTGTCCCAGGTTGTCCTGCCCCTTCCTCCCCTCCCTCTGTCTCCCGGTGGCTGTGGGACAGGGTGAGTCAGACCTGAGTTCCCCCCAGAGTCCCCTCCCCGGGCCCACCCCAGGCAGCAGCCTCCCCCTCTGAGCGCCAGGTTGTGCAGGGGATGCTCGGGGTCGGGGTGAGCGCCAGGCACCGAGGTGCCCCTGCCCGCTGCCCACCGGCCCCTCCTCCCCCAGGTGCAGTGGCCCATTCGCCAGGGGCGACGCCTGTGGGACCAGCAGCTCAGACGTGACATGTTCCTCCTGGGGCCCCCTCTCCATCTGCGTTATCATCAGCTTCATCAGCCTCGTCATCTTCATCGCTGTCATTTCTGTGTCAGCTGTGCTCAGGGCCATCAGGGACAGAAGGTCACGTAGTTTGCAGGAGCCCCTGGTCCCGTCAGGGCTCAGGTCCCAGCTCTCTCATCCCAGACACCTCTCTGGCTCTGTCCCCCAAATAGAGAGGCGGTCTGGGGTGCCCGGGGTGGGACTTCCTGTGTGAGGAGCCTGGTGCCCCCGGTGCCCACGCAGCACCAGGGCCCGAGCCCCCACCTGCCCTCAGCGGATGGAGGAGCACAGGGAGCCGAGAACAGCGGGAGGCCCCGTCATGCCTCCCTCCCCTGTCCCTGCCCAGAGCCCTCTGCGTGTCCAGACCCCGAGGGGGGCCCTGAGCAGAGAGAGGCTCAGGGCTGTGGGCGAGGCCGCGCCCTGTCCTCACCCGGGAGGTGCCCGGCCCAGGGCCCTGCTCTGAGCAGCGGGGGGTCCCTCCTCCTGGCTCCTGGCAGCCGCTCCCTTGGGGGGCTCAGCCCTCCCTGTGGACGGTCTACGGGGCTGAGGTGGGGCCGGGTTGGCAGCAGGGGAGGTGTCAGGGGCCCGGGTCCTTCCCCATCTTCTGGCCCCGGGGACAGGCC